ATACGCTATCAGGAACCCTTATAATAGCGACATCTACCACCCTTTATCCGAAGCGCGAGTATCCGGATCAACCTCCCACCCGGGCTCAGCGAGGACGGAGATTGTATCACAATCGGAAGAGAGGCGCGAGAATGGAGAGAATTGAGAGTTGATACGGTTATTCATTCCCAGATGGGAATGTGCATACGCGCTGTGGATCCCCATTGACCGCGCAGACAAGTAGATAGGGCGGGCCCGTCAGGAATAGCGGGGACTCTAGACCTCCTCCTAGCCTCTTGCGCTCGCCTAAGCGAGCGGTTCGGCACTTCGCCTTGAGTACTTGACATGTGATCATCTATTGCCTTTTATATTGTGACTGGACTATCGTGTGACTGTTACCTGGTGCTGACAATAGAGGTCTTCTCTGGCTGACTCTGGTGTTCTCTACAACTTCCTTATTGGGGGCTGAGCCACCTCCTTTCTACATTTTTTCAACCAAAACCACAAAGCAATCTTCAGCGCCAGAACAATGCCGAGGAACACGGAGAACTCAAAGGCCGCAGCGGCGGCTGCCCTTTGCCCGTTACCCCCTGTTCCAGAAGGCGACGAGGACGACGAGGAATACGATGTGCCCTCCGCGCCACCACGTGAGGACCGGCCCGGATCACATAATTCTTCAGATTCGACAGCCAGCGTGTGGGAGTCTCTACCGCTCACGACGCTCCGGATGCTTGCTGACGCCTATCACCTGGGGCATCCCCCCACGGCCACGAAGGCAAACTACGCAGCCCAACTGGATCGTTTCCAGATACCCGTGTCCGCTCTACAAACTCTGTCCAGAGTGAGCGAACCACCCGTCGCCCGCTACGAGGATTTCGATGACTACGCACCTCGTCCAGCGCCGCAACGCCGAGTTACCAAGAACCTAGACGTCGGGGACTCAAATGGCTTTGTTGCTGTCCTGCTCCTAAAACTTCTGAAGCGTTGCGCGGATGCCTTGCACAGCCGGCGGCCGTTCTAGTGGCTGCTGGTAGCTTATTGCGCCATTTTGGAGAACACCCTACCACAGATTCAGGCTACCGCGAATCGCATCTACAAGAGGGGAGCCACCGAGTTCGAGAGGTTAGTCTTCGAAGTTGCCCGCCGCCATCCCACTCCCCATTTGGAACGGCTTAAACGTTTCCGAACCATGAAACCGGCCGCGGACGAAAGCTTCTTTAATTTCGGCGAACGACTCCGCGAGGAGTATGAAATCTATCTCCAATTAAATCCTGACGAAATCGCGGCATCCGAGAACATCCTGCACCACGTCCTTAAGGAGCAACTCATGAATGTCGCGGAAACCGGTCTACGGGAGGAGTTGCAGAAAAAATGGTCGCGAAACCGGACGATCACGTGGGATGATTTCATCGACGTGGCCGAGACATATCGGTTAAATCACCCAACCTCATCAAACCATAGCACGTCCGGTAAAACCGGGTCCCGCCAGCGCACGGAGCTTCCGCCAAAGCAGTATTGTGACTTCCACAAAAAGACAATGCGTCACGGTACCCACGAATGCAGATTGCGGTTGCGACAAGCCGGTCAATCCACATCCACATCGGAGTCGAGTCAAGCTAAACCCTCCGGTTCAACTTCCCATTCTTCGTCGCGAAATATTGCAAATGTTCAGTGTTTTCATTGTCATCAATTCGGTCATTACGCGAACGAGTGTCCCCAGACCCAGGGAAACTCCAAAACGTCTCAGTGAACGCGGCTCACTGCGGACCCATCTCTCTATCTGCCGCGCCTCCTCCGATCATCCTCCAAATCACCGTCGCCGGTAGCCCTTTTTCAGCCCTTTTCGATACCGGGGCTTCGCATTCATTCATCGCGGACGCCGTCGTACGCCAGCACGCACTCCCCACTCGTACCCTGCAGACCACCGTTGGCACGGCATTAAGCTCCGAAGCAGTGCAGGTGTCGAAGCTTGTTGAACTTTCTTTTGCGTTTCAGGGGACAACACATCAGGGCGCATTTCTTGTTTTGCCCGGCATGCGCGAGTTCCCGTTTATTTTTGGGCGAACTTTACTTTTGCAGCTCCCTGTCACCATCACACTCAACGGGCAGCGAGTGTTCACCGGCTTCCATGAGGTCATGCGCGCGCCGTCGCGTCCGACACTGGAAGTCGGAACCGGCATTTCCTTTGTGGATGGTACCACAACCGAACGAGCGCGAGTCACCGAAATCTTAACGAAGCACGCGCCTCTATTTAGGCAATGGTCGGGTCGTCGCGGGTTATTCGCCGAGCATGTTGTCCGTATTCCGACGATAGAAGCTTCACCACCGGCGGCTCGACAGTTCCGTCATTCCATCGAAAGGAACGTTCCATTTGCCGAGATAATCGACTCTTACTTAGCTGCAGGTATCCTGGAGCCAGCCGCTTCACCGTATAACGCACCCGCGTTTTTAGTGGACAAGAAGTGTGGAGATCCTACAGCCCCCGCCGAAAAGCGTTTTCGTCTCGTCGAGGACTATAAGGAACTCAACAAGCTCATCATGCCTGACAACTACCCGATGCCAACCGTGCAGGAACTCCTCGAAGCTTTGGGTCGAAACAACAGGTATTTTTGCACGCTGGACCTCCACGCGGGTTATCATCACCTGCCCATTGCCCAGGAGGACAGACCGAAGACAGCATTCATGTCCCCTCGCGGACAGGTACAATATAAGGTTTTACCCTTTGGTCTTAAGACTGGCCCCGCTCTTTTTCAGAGAACAATTAACACCATTCTCCGCCCTTTACTGTTTAAAAACTGTTTAGCCTATGTTGATGATGTGATTGTGTTCGGTGATTCTTTCGCTACACTGTGCCAAAATCTGGAACTTGTCCTACACACCCTGCAGGAGGCAGGAGCATGTGTGGACATAATCAAATCATCTTTTTTAGCGCACAAGACCCTCTTTTT